AACACTCCCCCTCCTCACGACTGGAAACACGAAGGCTCGCTGGAGAGCTAGAGCCTGGACCTTCTGTTGTCTTAAGAAGCGCCCCCCTGGCCCATTCCAGAAGTTGTTCTAAGTGCATTTGTGAAAGTATAATTTCAGTGAAGCCTCTCCCTTAGATACGCAAAGCTCTTTGAAAGCTCTCTTTCCAACTGAAGGTTTCATGAATTGGACGGCCCTTCAGAGTTTGAAACAACAGAAAACCAACCAATCCCAAAATTAAAAACAACGTAAAATTATTTTCAAAACTTCTTTTTTTTTGCAGGTGTTAAGAATTAAAGGCAGCTGTTTCAGGACTCACTGGCTTGCATAATTTCACCCTATGGTTGAGCAGGAAATACTTTTAAAATGCTGCCTGCTTACACATCACACTTAGGCTTCAAAACCACAGTGACATTTGCTGAAGAAAAGATGCATCTTTTTAAGTCAAAACAGAGGGGGAAAAATTCATGTTTATTTTGATCACTGTGACCTTACAACACCTATGTAAGGGTCGCTGGTCAGGGTGTGCCCAAAGGGGAGGGGGAATTGATGAAGCTCTGGGTCTCCCACTTGTCCAGCGACATTAGTGAAAAGCTCAAGTATTCTCAGTACAAACCCCAGGATGATGGAGAGACTTTAAATCTATCCCAGGAATCACGTTCAATGAAAGGAACTTGGCACCAGGCACGTGCCTAAGAAAGAAAAACCTGAGGGGGCAGTGATCTGGGAGGGGATTTGAGCTTTGTCTTAAAAGCAGCTGTGCTGAGCCTTTAAGAGCCAAAGCCCTGAAGCAGAAGGTGAAGGTTTGTGTGCCACTTCTTTTCCTTACTAGCTGCAGGGTATGAGCCAAGTTTCTTAACTTTGCTGTGTTTCAGTTTGCCGCCATGAAAATGGGTATAGCGTAGTAACTATCTCTTAAGGTTGTTATGAGGATTTAATGAAAGTGCTGGGGTTCAACAGATATTATGCTATTGTTACTATAATTATCCGTCAGGTCTTGGAGGTGAAAAGGAAGCTATTTCTACAAAGCTACAGGAAGACTGACTTGGGAACGTTCGTTCTATGTTGCAAACTCCCTCATCTCCTTTAAGTCTTTGTTCAATGAGGTCCACTCTATTGGGTCTATTTAAAATTGTAACTCACTCCTCTCACCCCTTCATTCAACTCTACTTTTTCTTTTTCCATTGCATCTATCACTTGTAACATATTACACAATTTACTTCTTTAAAAAAAATGTATTGTCTCTCTCCCACCACCTCTTACTTCCAGGACAGCGTGGCTCTATAAGAACATGGATCTATTCTGTTCACTGATATTGCCCAAAATTCTAGAACAGTGCCAGGTATATCCTGTGCACCCAGTAAATATTATATGAATGAAGGATAAGTGGATTCATTTAGCAAATTTATGCTGTACTGAGTGCTTATGGTGGGTTGGGCACTGTGCAAATAAAAAAAATCTAAAACATAATCACCAGGCCTATCCAAGGATAAAAGAAGCTCCCTTTGGAAGGAGTACCCTCCCTGGTAAAGAGACATATTCACAATGTAGGCAATGCCAGCTTGGTGGAGATGCCATAAAAGAGTATTCAGGGACTAGAAGGGAGGTTTACAGAGGTTAAAGTCTCTTCTGCCCTAGAAGTTGCTGATTTTGTAAGCGGAATTTTCTCAAAATAAGAAGTAGCTGACCTTTTGGTGTAAATCAGAACTTTGTCCTAAGGATGATTAATATATTATACTTGTTACCACCCAAATTTTTACCAAAATTCTAAGTGTCACTGGAACATTTCCTTTTCTTATTAAGAAACAGAATTTTTTCAGGACAATCCAGTATTGGTCTCTCTATTTAAACATTCATTTATGGAAGAGGAAATTCAAGGTCTTTGTTAGACACGTCAGGTATCCAGCTTGCCATGGCCACAGCCTCTGAAATGGAAGTTGGCTTTAGGTAGCCCCCTTTAAGACTAAGGGCAAGCACCTCACCCAAATGTAGCCAAACTCTGTGACAAACACTGGCATGAAAAAGATACACTGAGCCAATGGGATTTCATTTCAGGAATGAGAACATAAGCACACACACACTGTAGCTAGTATCCAGAACAAAAGCTGAAAGGTCCTGGCTTTATCTGAACTTTAGACTCTAGAAGCTGCAGATGGGCTGTCTGTGGACGGGCTAAATGTAAATTCAATGTATATTTTTTGAACTCCATTGTGTCAACATTTAAAAAAAATAATTGCTCACGTGCAGAAATCAGAAAACCTCAGGCAAAAAATATGAATTTTCAGCTTGCCTTGAAAACTCTGGAAGACGTGGCATTGAACATGCTGCAGGCCGGCACAGCCACAGTTAGCTGGAACTGGAGCACTTCTCTCCCCGTTAGACCGGGCAGTTTCCAGTTTGCCCCAAGGCCAGGCGCTCCCCAATCAATGCTTCTCGTTCCCAGCCCGCTCACCCATTCCCCTGCCACCAGATGCACCTAGAGAAGGGATGCTGACATATATCAGGAGGGACCAGCGGAAGGAAGAAGCAGAAATTATGCTATAGGATGGCATGGGTTCTCTCCAGCTCCATGGCAACAAGTTTTTTTTTAACCAAAATTTGCTTGCACTCACATAATCTGGACGGTACTGAAGTAAAACAAGCTAGGGGGTAGAAATGGGGGCCAGTGGGCATCAAGACAGGGAGAAGCAGCAGAGGCCCTCCCAAAGGGCTGCCTTGAGATCAAAACCACCATCCACTTCCTGCTCTTCCAGAGGCCTGTTCTACTTTTCTTTTGTTCCCGTAACAGTGCCTACCCACCCCATCCCCATTGCACATGTCTATCCCCAAAGACTTACCAGACTGAGTTCCAGAAGGGTAGGTGCCCATCCAAAGTTATACACGGACAAGAAAGGACAGGGCATGGAACCCTGATCCCAACTCAGTACTCTTGAACTACATGATATTCCTTCTTGGTCTGATTGACTACTTCCATCCCTGAATCATAGCATTTAGTGCCTTAGGACCTGATCTACAATAAGTAGGAAATCAACATCTGCTGAATTAAGGTGTTCAAGGTCTGGTCTCCAGTTTGGACCTCCTTCCATGCTACTTCCATGTCTCATACCATGTCAAAAAATTATTCCAGTGAAGGAAAGCATCATACCCTTCCATAACTTACCTCCTTTATATAGATGAAAGGATCCTTTGCTGATGCCTGATACAGAGGTTTTGAGGAGTACAAGTAGGTCCCTCAGGCCTGTGCAGTGTTAAAACACACAGTTTTTCAGGTCCTCAGAGCTCCAGTCATAAAATAAGTTAATGTACTTACTCATGAAAAATGCTCATCTAGATATAGAACTTGCATAAGCACTCAATATTCATCAACAGTATTACACCATCCATAAAAACAGACCATTGGAGAAATAAGCTCAGCATCTGATCTAACCCCAGGGTGTAAAATCAGTGACCTTTGGCACAGCAGCAAAACTTAACTACACACGTCAAAAATAGCTTCCTTTCCTTCTGCTCTCTTCCTAACTTCCACAGTAGAACACTGAGGACCTTGAAGTTTGTTTTTGGAAGAACTTTGGATGATGCAAACAAAACATAATTTTCACATCCTTTNTAGAACACTGAGGACCTTGAAGTTTGTTTTTGGAAGAACTTTGGATGATGCAAACAAAACATAATTTTCACACCCTTTCATCTTTTTCTTGATAACAATGGGGTGTTTCTGGTATGTTGGTTTTTTTACTCTCTTTTTTTGTCTTCGGTACTGGGAAGTATCTGTCATCCATTCCAAAGGGGCTGGTATTGAATTCGATCTGATTGTACTTTGAGAATGACTTGAAGGAGCGAATCTGAACAGTGAAAAGAATTTTAGCAATCATACTCGAATTTCCCCTGAACTTTCCAGATTTCAATTATTCCTTCCCACAGTTATAAGTCAGTCAGTTGACAAACACTGACTGGGGGCAGCTGTCATGAAGTCCAGCTTGGCCTTGTTTCTATGAGAAACAAGGTGATTTCAATTTCCATAGAAAGAATCTTGTTCAATCTCCTGGCATCTCAGTTCCTTGAGCTCTGCCCCAATGCCCTTGTTCTCCACTCTCACCACCGTGGCTTATTCTCATGGCCAGCCTTGACCTTGTCATTTCCTATTGCCACCTTCTCCCAGTCTCCAACCTTCCAGTAATCTGACTCCCATAAATCTTCAACTCCCTGAGATATGCTGCCTTTTTATGGCCTCTCATTCCCTTCATGTCCTCACTTCTGTCTTCACCCAGATTAGATTCCATTATTATGTTAACTTCTTTGCATACATCCTGGACTCCCTTGCTCCTTTCTCACTTCACTGTATTTGCTTTGCTAAGTCAAAGTTGTTTAGCCTGAGCCTCCTCCTACTCAGTAAAAACACGGCTGGAGAAATATACGCAACCACACTGCTCTGCACCCACATCAAAGAAATGGCTCTAGCCTACTCCCTTTCCCACTGTCTCCAACATTACAAAATTTTCTCCCACATCCTCACTCTCACCTGAGAACCTTCCTTCCTTCTTTGCTTGAGAATATAGGAAAGTCTAATACTAACTTCCATAATGCTGTGGACTGAATGTTGGTGTTCCCTCCCCTAGTTGATGTGTTGAACCCTTAGGCCCCAAGGGGATGGCATTTGGAGGTGGGAACTTTAGGAGGTAATTAGGGCTAGATGAGATCATGAGGATGGGGGCCTCAAGATGGGATTAGTGACCCTTTAAAAAGAGAAAGCACCA